CTCTTCTCAGTAATAAGAGTAATAAATAAGCAGATATATAAGTTGAAATTACTTATAGAATTAAAATTAATTTATTCTGTTTTTCATATTTTCTATTTAAAGCTCTATAAGTAATACTCTGAAGTGAAGCTGTCTCAGCTGAATAATATTAAGATAGAGAATGATACTGAATATCTTATGAAGAAAATATTGAATAAGTGAATATATTATAACAAGCTTCAATATCTTATTAAATAAGAAGATTATTTATTATCAGAGAATTTATGAAAATCACTTAAGCATTTGAAAAATGCTGAGAAAGAGATTGCAAGCTATAAGACAGCTAGTAGAGACTGCTCTATTATATGCTAGAGACATTGAGTAAGAAATACTGCTTAAGACTTCTCATTTTTCTCAAAGAGTTTTTTAGAGATAATCTTATAATGATGAGCTGATATTTTATTAACTCTGTAGCACTCTTCTTCTATTTTCTTTCAAAGAGTTTTTAAAAGTTTAATAAGACTACACAAGTATAAAATTTCTGTAACAGTTAATAAGAAAAGAAAGAGATATTTAAAATTAATAAAAAAGATTAATATTATTAACTCACAGACTGCTGCTATTTTAATGAGACTGCAGTCTGCTGAAAAAGTAAAAAGAAAGAATCTCAGAGTCTACTCATTAATAATTATACTCTTATCAAACTCATTCTTTACTGTTGAAGTCTCTGACACTGATATCTTTATCTGTTAAGAAGTTAGTACTGCAGCATCACAGAGAAGCATGCTGTAAAAGAGTATAAGAGATACTGAAAGTATTAACTTATTAACTTATAAAGTATCTCAGTCATCTGCTTCAACTGAAGTAAGATTCTCTTTAATCAGTGATTAATCTCTGCAGTGCTTTTAATAACAGTGCTGACTAATCTCTTCTTGAGATCAGTCATTCTGAGATGTTTTTTTATCTTAAAGATTTACACTTTCATTTTCTTTTGTAGATGAGTAAGAGAGATCTCTTTAATCTTGACAGAATTTATTAATACTTAAAGCTCTGAGACTCTCACTCTGTACTGCTTAAGTATCTAGACTTCTTATCAGAGCTGATATAACATCTTTCTGTGAGATAATACTTACAGAGAGACAGAAGTTATTATTACAGATATAATGAAAATAATAAAAGTAAGAGAAGAAGTAGATGTATAAAATTCTCTTCTTCTTCAGCTGTTTAGTATAGTGTAGACAAGTAGTAATACTAATCAGAGACTGTATTAGAGTCTCTTCATAGAGAGAAGATAAAGAATCTGCAGAACTCTGCAGACTTAACTTAGCAGTATTTTAAGCAGAGCTCAGATATGTTATGAGAGAGAAACTATGAATTAAGCTTCTCAGAGCTGTTATCTCTGAAATCAAGCTCTTTTCAGAATTCTCTCTGAATAATCACACAGAGTCATACATCACTGTGTTAATTAAGAGAAGAGATAGTATTACAACAGTAGTAAGAGAAGCAGAAGAAGAACTGAACACAGATGAACTGACTGACAGAAGAGATAATATCTCACTGTAAGACACAGTAACTATTACTGCAGCTGCAAGAGAAGCAGAAGAAGAAGAAGAAGAAGAAAATATAATAATAAGAGTGATACTTCTGCAGTCTGTTAACACTGCTATCTCTATCTTCAATCAAGCTTTCTTAACAGTCACAGAGACTGCAGTTACATTATGAAGATATTTACTCACTAGAAAATATCAGAATAAGTTCTTTATTATTCTTTAAAAATAATACTCTCATGCACTCACTGTTATAATTGAGAGAAGAAAAAGAAAAATATTTCACAGAGAGAAGAAGAATCTTTTTGAAAAATTCTATTACTACTGTTAGCTTTATCTCTAAAATATATTACTTTTACAGAGAATTTTATATATAGAATAAAATATGATGAGAGATCTGTAAGTCACTTATTAACTATATTTTTCACATTTTAAATTAATATATAAGAAACTCACTTATTACATGTTTAATTTGAATAAAGATGAAAAAGAAAGATCTACACAGTTAGTAGAAAAACTTATCTATTTCTTTATATCATACACAGTATATGCACTGTCAATCAGTTAACAACTGTTATTATATAATAAAGATAACTCTCAATTCAGTAATCTTGAGAGCATCAGAACTATACTCTTAAAGAAGAGAATATTATTATACTCTCAGCTGTATTAAGACTCTGTTACAGTTTTATACAGCTCATTACTTTCATACAGATAATTTCATTTCATCTGAATCAGTTTTCAATCACTCTATAATATTATTCAGATATATCATAGAAAGATTTAATTAATAAATATAAGAACTCTGCTTTTATATAAGATTAGTAGATTACTCTTTCTTGATAATAAGACACTGCTGAGATATCACTTCAGCTATTCTCACTCATGAAATAAGAGAAGAGTATTCACTCATTATCTATATAGAATAGCTAGATACTGACTTCTTATTAAAGAAGTCAGTAATTTGTTTTTCTTCTACTGAAATATATATAAGAGTTACTATATATCTTATACAATCTTCTTAGTATACTAAGTATTATATCTGTGATATTCTCATAATAACTCTGTAGTCTATGAGCTCACTATTCAAGTAAGATAGTTAAGCTCACTTATACAGCTTTTCAAATAACTATCTCTATATAATATCACTGACTAGTCACTGCTTCAGTTCTGTTATATTACAGAATAGAAATATCATCTTAAAGTTAATCAGTGTGTTTTTAAATATAGAAATTTTAATTCAATGTCTTATATAAAAAAAAGCTCTTAGAAATTCTGAGATTAAAAAATATGATTATTTTTAAGAGTATATATCTATCTTAAATATAGATTTTTTTAAAATATTAAAGAAATATTTCTATTCTTCTTCTCTTTAGCTATAAACTAAGGTGATTTTCAAATCTCAAAGATATATAAGTATATAGTAATAGAAAGTCAAAGTTAAAGAATCTGAAAAATTCTTATAAATCTTGAGAATCTTCATTGAAGATGAAACTGTTTCTTCTCAGACTCTCTGATGAGGATTGCTCTGAGCACATGACTTGTATCAAAAGTAGGTTAGTGTCATGCCGGATTAGTTAATAATAATGCTGCAACCCGTTCAAACCGAGCCAGAGGGTCTGAGCCCGCTGAGATAAGTTTTAAGCCCAAGGCCCTAGCAAATCACGTGCCCACCCCTCACAACCTTGCCAGCTCAAACCGAGTTAACTCACGCAGATTTGACCAACGGAGCAATCATTTCAGCCGACATCACAAGTTGCCTTTTTACTCCTATCCATGGGTATTGTAGTAACTTAAATTGCAGAGGAGATTTAGTTAGGTCTGGCCGCGTGTTTCCTAGAAGTTGGAGCTGGTGCAGAAGCTCGGACCAACAGCCTCCAACGCCGGCCAATCGGACAGATATAGCCATATCGCGCATCGCCATCTGCCCTGCCCAGTTCAACCAACCTCTCCCCCGCGGACGCTGTGAGAAACTACAAACAGTTGTAATTTCCAGTATTTTGCACCAATGGTTTAAATTTCTGTATCATTTTCAGAGACAATGGTGCTAGCTCTGCGATCTCTCTTAGTTTCGCTACTCTCCATAGCGCCTCTCGCGGTTGCGGACAAGGGCTCGCTAGCTCCCAACGACGATGTCTCGATATTGGCAGATGAGGTACGGAGAGCCTCCAATGAATCGCTATTATGGGGCCCGTATAGGCCAAATTTATATTTTGGTGTCCGCCCGCGGATTCCCAAGAGTTTGCTTATGGGCTTAATGTGGGCGCAGATGGACGACTATAAGCCTGTACAGCACAGTAGGTAGACCCGAATTGCGAGGGAAACCCCCTAAATTGCTTGTGCCGTACTAACTTTTCCTTAAGAGCTTAGGCATACATGCGAACAAAATGAGGGCATGGCCGGTTATGGGTGGGATGAGTACGATATCCGCAAGGGAGGCAGGCAGACGATCCACGATGCGGGGAACACAATAGACCTCACGATCGATTTTATAAAGGTTCCGGGCGGAAGCAATGGAGGGAATTGGGGTGCACGTATCAAGGGTACTCCTCGCCCGGATGCGTCCCCTGACCAAGCAACAACGATGATCTTTTACGCCGCGCTTGAAGGCCTGGGGAGTTTGCAATTCGCTAACGAGGCTGATGCTCTGGGATACAAGGGGGACGTGAAATTTACAGGATCTATGGTCAGTCTTGGTAATTTTACTCTAGACATTACCCGGGGCCCGGAGAGTAATGAGTACCCTCCCCGAAGCCATTCGGTGTATGACGACAAGCCATTGGATAGGACGAGGGTTGTAGGACTCCAGGTGCACCCGGACTTACTCTGGCAATCAAAAGGTATGACTGATACTTTATATTTTATAAACGAATTGAGGAATAGATCTTGTTCGCGCTGACGTTAATGCTGGTGTCTGAAGCGCTTCTTTTTGCCCATTTGAAGGAACAGGTTGAAGCCACTTTGAGAGAACAAGGGACGGATAATCCTCCTCCGCCTGCGCAACTTTTTACTATCGCGAATAAGCCCGATGTTGGGAATATTCATTTCGTGCAAAAGGTCTTCCAGGGCCAATTTGAGGTATGTAGTTTATAACGCTACACACCCTGAACCCCCCCCCCAGCTGACTGTGGAAATGGAAAGTTCGACGTTCTTTTCTCGTCTAGCTCGTCGCCGGAACCTTTGACTTGTAGGTTGAACCCATTTTAGCCACATTACAAATGGAGAGAATATAAACTATTGTCTAATACCTCACAGCAACATCACTTACCGAAGAGATTAAAACCGCTTCAGCCATGTTCTCTGAAAAGTTCAAGAAGATATTTTCTCCCGTAGCCCCCTTTAACGTGCCAAAATACATGGAGTTTTCGAAAGCCATGTTTTCGAACTTGGTTGGCGGTATCGGATATTTCTACGGTGATTCAGTTGTCGACCAATCCAATGCACCGGAATACGAAGAGGAAAATGAAGGGTTTTGGGAAGAGACAGAACAAGCACGAGCCCGGGCAGAGCCAAGCCTAGTTGGCCCTTCGGAGTTGTTTACAAGTATCCCGTCCCGGCCATTCTTCCCTCGTGGCTTCCTCTGGGATGAAGGATTCCACTTGATCCCTATTATTGATTGGGACCTCGACTTGACGTACGTTTTAATTGAACCGGATTTTGATGGCAATTGCTAATAGGTGGTAGTTTGGAAATAACGAAGAGCTGGTTCAATCTCATGGATGAGGATGGGTGGATTGCACGCGAACAGATCTTAGGCTCCGAAGCCCGTAGCAAGGTGCCTCAGGAATTTCAGGTTCAATATCCACATTATGCAAATCCTCCAACATTATTCATGATTATCGAGGCATTTGTGGAGAGAATCCCATTAAATAAGCATGGCGACCGGAAACAAGCTGAGGCACACGGTTTACCCTCCGATATCCGCTCGGAATATTTGGAACACCCGGAGCTTGCTATTTCGTATCTTCGCTCTATCTACCCTCTACTTAAACGCCAGTATTTCTGGTTTAAGAAAACACAGTGGGGTGACATTAAATCGTATGATCGGGAAGCTTTCTCTACGAAGGAATCCTACAGGTGGCGAGGACGATCTGTGCAGCACATTCTAACATCCGGACTTGATGATTACCCGAGACCTCAGCCTCCCCACCCTGGCGAACTCCATGTAGATTTGATTAGCTGGATGGGAATGATGACCCGTGCGATTCGGCGTATTGCTGAAGCCTTGGATGAAACCGACGACGTGCAAGAATTTAAGGAATATGAGACTGCGATCACTCGGAATATCGATGATCTCCATTGGGACAAAGATGCTCAAACTTATTGCGATGCGACCATTGATGAGTTTGAGGAGCATGTGCATGTCTGTCACAAGGGATATGTATCTCTTTTCCCATTTATGACGGGCTTGGTACCCGCTGATAGCCCGCGGCTGGGTCCTATTTTGGATCTTATCCAGGATCCAGAGGAGCTGTGGAGTGACTACGGTATTCGTAGTCTGAGCAAAAAAGATGAGTTTTATGGAATAGGAGAGAATTATTGGAGGAGTCCCATCTGGATTAACATTAATTACTTGATTCTCAAGAACCTCCTTGTAAGTCGAAATCGGATCTGGGAGTTCTATTATGACTGAAGCTCTCTGCAAGAGCACACTACTAACCTTCTTGGGAAAACAGGATGTCGCCACGGTTTCTGGTCCACATCAAGAACAAGCACGCCAGATGTATACCCAACTCCGCAAGAACATTGTCGACAATGTGTTTAATCAATGGAAAAAGACTGGTTTTGCATGGGAGCAGTATAATCCCGAGACCGGCGCTGGTCAACGAACACAGCATTTCACCGGATGGACGAGTTTAGTGGTCAAGATGATGGTCATGCCAGATTTGAGCACAGACCAGAAGACCCGCCATGATGAATTGTAAGAGGATCATCTAAAAAGGGTATTTTATTTATAGATATAGAACGGTTCGTGGTTTTTTGGTGGGATAATACCCATCATATAAAGGTTATGGCAAGATGAATGTAACATATGTTAAATCTTGTAAAAGACACCAGCGCCGAACTCCTGCCACCCGTGTATTTCCAAAGGCCATCATTATCTCATTAATAAGTGTGGCTTTTTTTTTTATCTCCTTCGATCATAGTCATTTTTTCGCCTGGAACGTTGATCATGATGGCTACGACGCTCAGCGGGAGAATAACTCCGCTCACGACGGGGATATTTCTCCTCTCGCATTCTCCCTCGCCTTCGATCTCGACTCCGCGATCTAGATGATCGTCGATATCTTGTATAAGAGGCCCTATCTCCCGACCTCGAACGATGCCTCCGCATCTCAGCCGATATAGAGCGGCGCCTCTGTACTACCCCGTGATCGCTATCGGGAGATCGAGAGCGGCGTCTCCGTCTTCCATGGCGCTCATCATCTTTTTCATGTCTCCTACTCCTTCTATCTCGTTCTCCTCGATCTGGATCCCTACTCGCACCTCTCCTTCGACGATCGCCACCCCCATCGCGCCCACTTCGGGTCCGGTCCCCTCGCCTGCCACGCCGCTCCATCCCATTATCCGGGCCAACCATTTCATACCCCGTCCCTTCCATCATATCTTCCTGATCTCCAGCCTTCATCCCGCCCATCCCCCCAAAACCCCCAAAACCCCCAAACCCAACGCCCCTGGGGCGGTCATCATTCTCCGCTCCCCCGTCCGCCGCACTTGCCTCCTGAATAGCCCGCTCTACCTCTTTTCCACCCAGTGGCGTCATATTTGCATTTTGAGAGCTTTTGGGGGCGACGGGTAAACCTAACGCACGCGCCAGCGCCTCCTGCTCAGCTTCCTTAATGCGTTTAATCTCCTCCTCTCGCTCAGTGCGTCGTTTCGCCGCGGCTTCTTCTGGGGAGTCTTCGGGGTCGTTGTCTCCCTTGGCATACCAGGACAGATCTCGATTTTGCTGCCATCGACCGACGGGAGCCATCAGGGAGTGGCCAAGGTAGTTTTCGCGGTGGGTGGAGGTTTTGACATCGGACCATTTGAAGGAGTCGCGGCCGCCACTGTTAGAGCTCAGTTAGGTTTGGGTTTTGGTTCTGTAATCTCTTGAGGGTAACTTCTTTTCAACTGGGGTAAACACGCGTGGGAGTACTTACCGGCTGCCTTCCTTTCGAATACTTGCCACGAGATCCATGATTACTGGAGGCTGGAGGTGGGTGTATATTGGGGTATCTGTATCAAGCTTCAAGGATTGCTTGAGCTGAATTATCTCAGCGGGCTCAGACCTCTGGCTCGGTTTGAACAGGTTGCAGACTAATCCGGCATGACACTAACCTACTTTTGATACAAGTCATGTGCTCAGAGCAATCCTCGCCAGAGGGTCTGAGAAGAAACAGTTCCATCTTCAATGGAGATTTCCAAGATTTACAAGGATTTTTCAGATTCTTCAACTTTGACTTTCTATTACTATATATTCATATATCTTTGAGATTTGAAAATCACCTTAGCTTATAGCTAAAGAGAAGAAGAATAGAAATATTTCTTTAATATTTCAAAAAAATCTATATTTAAGATAGATATATACTCTTGAAAATGATCATATTTTTTGATCTCAGAATTTCTAAGAGCTTTTTTTTATATGAGAAATTGAATCAAAATTCCTGTGTTCAAAAACACACTGATCAACTTTGAGATGATACTTCTATTCTAAGAACTTGAGATATGAATATAAAAATCAGATACATTGTGAGAACATTATTATTCTAAGATTTCAAGATAATACAGAAATGATGAATCTATGAAGTTGAGTTGAAATTCTCTTTCATACTCAGAGTACTGAGTAAATTCTTTCTATGTTATTAACAATCAGAAACTGTTTCTTCTGTTGACCCTTACGGCCGTTGCGGTTAGCAATTCCACTAGATCATGTGACTCATCACTATATTATGTTTCTGTAGATAGATCTATTAATACAACCTTCAACTATTCTACAGATTATAGTCTGAATAGCACATTTTTCTTTTTAGAATGTTGAATTAACATTTTTGACATGAATAGTTCATCTTTTTTGAAAAGACTCTTACTCTTTATTAGAGATATTTCATTTTCTCTGAATCTATCAGTCAGTGAATTCATATACTTTATTTTTTTTGAAAAAGCATGTTCTTCATTATGAAGAATATCACTTTTTATCTTTTTTTTTACACATCTAGAAGAAGCAGAGTTATCTTGATATAAGTGATACATCTGTTACTTCAGAGTTCAGCTCAAGGCTCAGAATCACATGCTTCACTAGATAACTCATTGATAGAATGATCACTTATTATGAGAAAGCTTCTGACTTACAAGATGAGACTGAGATCAGTTTTTACCAGAGTATGAAATTTGATGATGATGAGATAATGAAGAAACTTCAGAATAAAGAAAAGCAGAGTCAACATTCATCTGCAGAATCTGTTCATTTCAACTCTTTGAATTCTTCACTGTTTCTCACTCTCAGAATGCTGACTTTTAATGATGATTTGAATCAATCTATCTATTGCATCACAGGCAATCTTATGAATCTTATACAGATGATACTATGAAATCAAATAACTGCAGCTGAAACTACTTAACATCTCACTACATCTGTCTCTGCACAAAGAGACACTATGAGAAATGAGTTACAGAAATACCAGAAGAAAGTCAAATATACACTAGACATTAAATCAGTGATCACATTTGATGACTCTAATTATGAAGCCTGATGTGTTGATATGTTGACTGATGTGAAAGTTATTAATGAAATTAACATTCTATTGAGAACTCAATGAGAATCCTCTTTTACATGTTATATTAACTCTGAGAAGTGAAGAATCTGTTTCAAGTCTCTATATAGATGTATGCTATTGAGTCTTGTTGAAAATGTTCAAACTACTATTAAAACCTTGAAAGCTGACAATGCTGCAGCTCTGTGAAACAAGATTAATGTGGAATATGTAATATCACTGACAGAGGAACAAGTTAATGTCTTCAAGAAATTGATAAAATTATAAGTTAAGAAGAATGATTATCTTACTTTTCAGAGATGTTTTCACTATCTTATTATCTGTTACAAGGAGCTCTGTCAGAGCACTGAGAATATATATTATGATCTTTTTCTTAACAATCTGCAGGATTATCAAAGACTGTTTATCAAGATATGTTTAAATAAGTTTTTCTTCACTGACCAGAAACTCATTGTTAATATTGATATTGATGATTTGATGAAGCAACTGATCAATCATACATTTAAGAAGATTATCACTGAGTGGAAAAAGCGGTCTCAGACTGATTCTGTGACTATGAAAAAGAACAAGGACAAAGATAAGAACAAAGATGAGAATAAAAGCACATCTGTATAAAAGTGCATTCACTGTAGAAGATATAAACATACTGTTGACAGGTGTTTCATCTTACACTCTGATAAAAAGAAAAAGAAGAATGATAAGAAGAATGACAAGAAGAAAGAGAAGAAGAATGACTTGATAAGTTCTTAATCAGCAGTAAATACAGCAATTATAAAGATTGAGTTCTATTTCTCTTTTATAGTCACTGAAAAACCATCCTTCAGATCTTGATATTTGAACACATGTGTAAGCCTGAATATGACAGATGAGCTTCATTCTTTTTCAAATATTAAATCTTTTAATGATAATATCTCTGTTGATTCTGTGACTGAGAAAACTGAGTTTGTTAAGAAGATTGAGACTGTCATCTTGAAGATTGAGAATAATGATGTTAACTTACAGAATATTCACTATATTTCTAATATTACAGTTAATCTGCTCTCATTTGCAAAGCTTGAAGATCAGAAATTCTGATTTATATTGTCTTTCACTATTTTCTCATTTTTCATTTGCAGAGCTCTGAACAGTATTATTTTTCATACAGTTCAGATCACTCAGAATAATATATATAAGATTAATGAGTAGAAGTTCAATGAGAATCTCAATCATTTAAACAGGGCAGTCAAGTACATTGTGATGATGTCTTATAAGTATGATTTTAATTGAAAAGTTGATCTTTCTGTGACTGCTATCACTACTGTTAATAACATTGATTCTACAGTTCTGAATACAGGTCTCAAGAATACAAGAATATCAAAGACTCTTTTGAACTGACACTGTGACCTCAGTCACATTCACACTGATGCTATAATTACTATGGCTAAGAATTCCTATACTGAAGTCACAATTAAAGACTCTAAGACTAAGTTCTTTTGTAAGAAATGTGTCAAGACTGATATGATGTGAGATTATTTGAAAACACTGATATCTAGATCTATTTAACTCATTGAGAAGGTTCATATTAATCTTATAGATAATGAATGTACATTGAAAGACCTCTCTGATCACTTCTTAGAGTTCTGTCAGAGAATCAGATACTGAATACTTATTATCTGTGATATGACTCACTATCATTGAGTATATTTTTTAAAGTTCAAGAATGAGACTGTTCAATACTTTGAGTTATAACTCAGATTCATGAATAATCTCAGATATACAGTCTCTACTTTTCTATGAACTGATATTGATGATGTTTTTCAATTCACATGTATACACACAGTTATGAATTCATATGATATCAAATAAGAATTAACAGTATCATATTTATTACATCAGAATGATGTTTCTGAATATAAGATCTATACTATTATAAGACAGGTTAGAGCTGCTCTTTTAAAAGGTAATCTCTCTAAGAAGTTCTAGACAGATGTTCTAGAGACAGTGATTACAATAATTAATAATACTCTCACATCTACAGTTCTTTATAACTCAAAATTTTGATTCTCTACTGCAGAGACTTCTGTGATTTCAAGTTCATATAAGATTTCTTAATGTGCACTTACAAATACTCTGCTGAATATAAGACATTTTCACTGATTAAGTACAGAGGTTTTTATTCACTTGCATAAATCTCAGTGACTCATGAATAAGCTCTCTTTATGTACTGATTTCTATTATATCATTGAATTCAGTGACACATTGATATATTGTCTATGATATCTCAAATCTGATAAGATTATTGTCAGTAGTGATGTGAGGTTTCTGATCACTGAAAAACCGGTTGTTACATCTGTGAAACTCATTAATCATGTTGTTGAACTGGTTATCACATCTGTGACATTCACTAATAATATCAGTGTACTGGAACCCGATATTCATCTAATTGATGATGATGAAGACACTCTCAATATTGATGATCCGAATTTCACATGGTTGCAGCCCGCGAAATCGCTGGCTACATATACTTCAAGCCTCATTACAGGTAACCTCCCGAAGTTCTACAAGGATGCCACATCTTGGCCAGAAGAGATAGAAGATTATTGAAAGAAGTTCATGCAATGTGAGATTACTGATCTGAAGAGATGCAATACATGAAGTTTAATCTCTAGATCTGATATTCTGAGGAATGAACTGATTGCTTCAGGTCATTGAGTGTTTCTTGAGAAAGATAGACCTGTGAATCTGAATACTGATTCTGATAATATTCTTAGAAAATTGTGTTGAGTGATTTATAATAACTGACTTAAGAAGAATTCTAGAGAAGAGATCTACACTTCTGTCATCACTGATACTACTAATTGTATTCTTTTTACAATAGTAGTACTACACAGTTAAACACTTCATCAAGTGAATATAGTGATGATATATCTTTATAAGTATCTTACTAAGAAGATCTATATAAGATAACTCACTGAATTTGAGACAGATTCACTGAAAACACTTATCTGTATAATTGAGAGTAGTCTATACAGTCTGAACTCTGCAGTGAAGATCTGATATAATTACTTAACAGCTCTGTTAAGCAATCTCAGATTTACAGTCAGTACTCATGATTCAGCACTCTGATATTATACATTCAGATATCACCTCTATATAACAATCTATATTGATAATCTCAACATCATATTCAAAGCTTCTGAGAATGCTGATTAACTAGTGAGTATACTCAGTGAGAAATTGAAAGTCAAGAATCTACATCAGTTAATCAAGTATTTGAGTATAAAGATCAATTATTTAAATAAGAGAATTGATTTGATACATTATCAATATATTAAATATCTTATTAAAGATTTCTATCTTGATAATACAGCTATTACTAGAACATTAATAAAGAATGAATTCTGTATTAATGATTTCTCTATATCTGAGAAAGAGACTGATTTCACAATTTAATAATATTAATATGATGTGAGTTGCTTATAATATCTTACAGTTAAAATATGTTCTGATATCACTTAT